TATATCGGACTCCTAGTGATCTTCCTGTTTACAGCCTCCCAAGCACTGGAATTACAGGCACATGCCACAATGCCCAGTCTCAATTGCTGCCTCAGCATTCCTCGGGGGCAGGGGCAACACAGCAGGCCCAGGGATCGAACCCCCATGCCCTGTGTCTGCCTAAGCAGGTTCTTTAATACACTGAGCTATTTGGCCAACCCTTGAACATCATTTTCATGATCTGGAAATAAGAATGACACTTACACCTACTTAGTAGAGCTCATCAAAGACTAGAAGATCACATTTTCTGGGCCCCAAAGTAACCTAGGATGGCAGCAAAGAGGAGAGGGAAGTTTTTATCACAGGGCTTAGCAGCTGGGCCTCAGATGCCCAGTGGATAACTAAGAACAAAAGGGCTTCACATTCTCAAGGGTTGGTGAGATAACTCAGTGGACTAAGCGCCTGATTAGGCCAGAGCAGGGACCAGGGTTCGATACCCAGAACCACAGGCTGCACCGACCCTGCCTCTGGGCGTGCTGACCAAGACTGGGTGTGGTGGTGCCTGTAATCCCAGTGCTGGGGAGGCTGAAGACAGGAGTCTGATATGCATAGTGAGACCCTATACCAAATATATATATGAATGAGAGAGAGACAGACAGACAGACGGAGAACTTTACATTCCCTTAACCACTCGGAAACTTTGGACCAGATCCCTGCTTAGTTGTGTAATACGCCTAATCATAAGGGAGCATTACAAGGTTTCTTAACCCTGACTTTACCCGGCTGTCTTTCAAGACTAAAAACACAGAGGAGAGTAATTTTCAAAATACAGGGCAGAGGAGCATACAACTGTCTTTTTTCTTTTTCTTTTTTTTTTTTTGCCTGCTTAGCCTGCCCTCAGGGTGGGGCTGGCGCAGCATGTAGTTCAGGGGATCAAACTGCAGTCCCCTGCACCTGCCTAAACTTGCCTAAGCAGGCACTTTAGACCACTGAGCTATCTTGCCGGCCCCATACAACTGTCTTAAAAAGTCCAGTTCCAGACCCTGAAACAATGCCTAAAGTATTGAGTCATTGTCCTAAACCTGCTGCCACCTCAGAGTTCAAGGAAAGCCGAGCCTTGCAGACCACCCCATGATGCTGTCACCCCTGTTGGGGCAATTACCCTGTGAGGGGGAAACTGAGGCTGCCCCTAGAGCAGGAGGTGCCATCTCAGGAGGGGAACTGATGTCCTCAGACGACAGTGGCTCTCCCAGGACCTCAGGAAACCACCTGAGATGGCCTTCAGCCCGACCTCGGCTTCACTTGGTTCTTACATTGCTGGCTGCGGAACCCCAGCCCTTGCCTTCATTCTCTTTTTCTATAAAATCCCAAAGTTTCTTTAATGGCTCTGTGCTTTCCAGTCTGACCACGCTGATAAAATCTCCTTTCTTGCCCTTGCCTGGCCCCAACTCCAGTGACAGTACTGCTATTCCTGAGGGCTGTCTGTCCCCCAGGACAGGCCTCCAGGACAGGCTGACCACTAGCAAATGGTGCTGGCCTCAGGTGAAGGCTTCTTTGCCAAGAACACGTTTTATTGAGAAAGAACTTCTTAAAGTAGCTCTGTTCAGTGACAAACTGAATGACTCAGGGCTTTAGATACTGAGTTTTGCCACATGTCACTGTAACTTGTTCCTCATCTGTGGGAATTTAGCGCGGCAGTGATGGCCCTCGACCCCACGCATCGCTGAAGCCAAGGGGGCAGTAGGGGGCGCATCAGGAGCTGCCCTGCGCTGGAGCTCCCCACCCCGACCCCTCACTGCGCCTCTCTCTCCGCAGCACGACTTTAGCCTGGAAAGAAAAGCTCTCTTCTGCGCAGAGGCCGCCGTCCGAGGCCGCGGCGCCTACCAGGGCGGTGACCTGGGCACGGCGTCGGCCCCTCCGGCCTGGTTCCTGCTGCTCAGTCCCGACAGCGGCCTGGCACCCGCGCCAGCGGAGCCCGGACCCCAGGCGCGGCCCGGGGAGTTGCAGGAGGCAGGTGACGGCCAGAAGGACACCTCCTCCGCCAGCGAGGACGAGCGGGACCC